TCTAGAATGCTTGCTTTTGGATTAGAATCTTGACCTGATTGATCCACCAAGGTGCTCTAAAGGTTAAATAGATGGTGAGCGCAGGCTCTCAACAGGTGTTTTGTGTTCTACTAAGGGAGAATCCTGTGATCTCTTTTCTGCATTGCTATCACATCTTTATTCTTTCAGAAGCCATGTTTGATAGCAGAAGTGCTTTAAAAGACAAATGTCTTGACTCCATAGCAGTTCTGTGAAATTTGGGTTCTTCAAGCACTCAGCTACCATATATAGGAAAATATATACAAGAGAAGACAACAGCTAATGAGCAAGTTTTGAAAGGGCATAAAAAAAGGGTGAGGAAGTAAAAGTTAACTGAATGAGCTGTGTGTGTTTTTTAGGGGGTAAATTAGGGAAAAATAAATTTTCATGTCTCGATAGTAATAAAACCAAAGTTTGAAGGAGGAGTTAATTTCAAAAAGGATGGTCAAGAAGAGTCTGGAATCATGGCACATCATTGAAAAGGATTTTAATGCAAAGAAATGCACCAAAAATCTATCTGAGTGATAACAATGAGTCAGCCAGGCAATATAAACCAATGGGCATGAAGATGTCAGAGGAAGTGAGCTTGTGAGGTCTTCAATGTGAAGAAAAACAGAGCAATTAAGTATGCTTGGCATTATGGTGATCTTTGTAGACTGAAGGAGACTGTGAAATAAGCTACAAGAAGGAAGAAACTGAAGCAGTTTTAGGATGAGTAGATCTATTCAGAGATAATAAAATGAAGGCAATTTTCCCTAGGACTGAAAAAATTGTACATACAACAGGCTGGTTGTGGAGATCAGGTATTCCTGGTGTGAGGATTATCACCAATGACAAGTGAATCTCAAATGAAAGGGGAGACTATAGGCCACCTATTCTTCAGGATTTCAAGATTGATCATCTTAGTTCAAGACCTTCCAGGATGAGAAGCAGCTCCTAGAAGGATGAAATCTGTCAGTGAAACTCAGATTATTTCAGATAATGAGGTGATTTCCTCAAAGACAAGAAATGGTCATTTATTACCCATTGGCTTTGAACAATGTATTAAATGTCACAAGATTTGATTTAGTCACACTACAGAAAAGTTATCAAGAGAATAATATGTTTAAGGCAGAGAATCTGAAAGATGAAGAAGGAGAAAAATAGGTGAGACAGAATTCCTATTGTTTATAAATAGCAGTTTAATGCTATATTAGAAGAATAGAGTTGTCATTACATATGGCCTGTGACTCTCTCTCCAGAAGCTTGCTTGGTTCTTCAAGATACATACCCAGATGTCTCAAAGTTTGCCCTGTAAAATTCCTGTAAGAACTGCCTTCCTTACCAAAAGATGAAGAGGCATAAAGTGCATTGCAAGGAACTATAGGGATCAGACCAGCGAGAAAAGGGTCAGTGGATGATGGAAAGTATCCAAAACATTAATCTTGTGGATCTTTTTTTTTTTTTTTTTTTTCTTTTTTTAAATATATGACAGAAATATGGGCAATATATGCAGAAATCTCTGCCATAGAGTTATACAAGAATAGGAGTGATCAGTATTTCATATCCTCCTCATAGATCAAAATAGATTAAAATATTTCTCTGGATTCAGCACAAAAGGCTACTTATTTGCAGTGATGTTTTCCACTGCACCTGTAGGCCTACTCCTTTGTGCATTGTTTTTTATTTTGTTTTGGTTTGGGTTTTTTGGTGAAGGAGGAGTTCTAAGGTAGATAATGTAAACTAAGAACATTCCCAAATTCTCTTTCTAGGGAGTTTCTCAACTTTCCCCATTGAGAAGTGTCCGTTTAGGAACAAACTCTTGTTGTAAAACTGTTGCTTGAGCATTTTAGGTTTAGAAGCTAGAACTCCTCTGATGTGTCTTAAGCTGTTTAAAAAGAGAATTGTTCTAAGATTAACCTTAAGACTCCTTTCTATAATCAGTGGGAAGTTAGCAACCTACAGAGTACACTTCAGCTCCATTTCACTATGTGATGGCTTTAGAGCTGAGGGAACTTGCCTCTTGTTATTAACTACAGAAAGAATTAGATGAGAAGTCATTTAAAAAGTAGGTCTCTAGTCTAAGCTAAAGTTACCTGAGCTGACGCCTTCCTCATTAATTGAATCTTGATGGTTAACCTTTAAAGTAGCATTCAGATTCATAACAGTATTTTTATGCAATAAATATAGACAATTGTGTTCACATCCAGGCAGCCAGAGCAGTAGAATCATCAAAAAGTAATTCATCAGCTTCACACGAAAAAATACAACAGTAGGTCGTATACAAAAGAAACCAAAACAAAACCCAAGCTTCTTTCCAGATAATGACTAGCTGTCATCAGAGAAAAAATGGACTTTATACTCATTTCCAAGGGATGAAATCTGGGTCTGCTGTGGTTTTTGTTTTCTTTATGCTTTTTTAAAAAAACTTAGAAAACATTTGTTCTCATGACACAATCTCCTTCATTAAAACAGCATGCGCATGGCTCAGTCTCAGAGTATGAAGCATGCGCAGATCACATCATCCTTCATGAGTGGCTAGGACAGTGGTTCCCACCCGCAGGGTCATGTACTGCTGCTTGTCTTTCATACTCCTCCTATTGATATTAGCTACTCTTCTTCCCTGTGGGACAGCAATCCCACTTCATTTGGCTTCCTTACATTCAATAAAAAGTGACATCCAGTGCAATTCCAGAAACTGGGGGGATTCAAATTCATCCCCAACATGCTGACAAAAGTGCAGAGTAGTTTCTCTGACTAGCTTGGATACATTGTCATTGTTTGTCTGGCTTGCTATTTCATCTTCTCCCTTGTGGTGGAAAAAACTTTCCCCAAACCTTTGCCTTTGAAGTGGAGTCCCAGCACTCCATAATTCTGTGGTAGACAGACCAC